ATGGCAACAGACTGAGAGTGAAATACATTCATCTTTGTAGTTTGTTTTCACTTAAACACATGCTATGGCAACAGACTGAGAGTGAAGTACATTGGTAGTTGGCTTTCACTTAAAAAAACACAAAAATAGAATTGGGTAAAACCAGACTATTGTCCTCAAACCAACTTTCAGCTGCAGTCACACAAGAGTAAAGAATGTGACTTAGGTTGTATTCCCTTGCATCTTCAAATTCGATTAAAAAAAACTTAAAAGTCATTGTTATTGATAACCTGTTACACAGGAGGTAATGTAAACCCCACCTCCACCAACCCAAGAAAAGGTGGGTATTTCAGGGCTTCTGATATTTCGCGCGGTCGCGGAGCCGCGAAATTCAGGTAAATCCGCGAAATCCCGCGAAATTCACAAAAACACGAAAAATACCGCGACATTCGGTAGAAATCTTATCAAATACATGTCTGTACAACATATTTGAAACTTATTTCAGCTATAGGGGCTATTTACTTGCCGTAAACTTGCAAATTTATCGTGGAATTCGTCACTGCAAACAACGTCCCGAAACTACCAGGCGTCAAGTATGTTGCGAAAAACTGGGCACTAGCCATGATGTTAAAGGCCTTGCCATTGGTGCATTTCGGGACCGTATTGTTGAAAAACGTTAAAAATGCTGGTCTGATCAGCCCAAAACTGATCGATTTCTAGCGAAATTTGCCATGAAAATAACCACAAAATCGGCCCTTTTTTAACGATTTCTTTTTGTTGAGGTTTGCCCGAAAAACTCCCGCGAAATTCCCGCTGAATCGGCCGATTTTTCCGCGAATTTGTCTCCAAAAATCCCGCGAAATTTGACTTTTTCTTCCCCGACCTATCGGAAGCCCTGGTATTTGTTAGAGGTTTCACCCCAAATATAGAAAAATACTGCTGCCATCACTTCCTGAGATTATTTTATGAAACGGCTTTTTAAAAAAACAAAAACAAAAAGAAAATTAGAGGCTTTAGAGGGCTTTTCTGTCACGGACATACGAAAATTTTAGGCCTATAATGCATAAGGGAAAGGTTTTATGACAGTTAAAAATTTTAAAAACGTACAATATGTACAAGGATTTGTATGGAAAAACACTCCACTGTGACTGAGGAGCAACAGTTGTCCCCATGTCCCCATACAGGCAAATCCTTCTAACTTTCACTGACTGCCGCAGTCACTACATACTTTTGAAACACACAGCTGAAGCTTTACAGGGCACCTAATTTTAATATGCTCTTCACGTCCTGCTAAAATCATTTTTCTAGAAAGAATTGCCTTTGTGCTCAAAGCACGGTTTGTTACATGAAGTCAGCATTGCATTGTCTTTTCTCTAAGAAAATATAATCTACTGGCTTTACTCCACTGTCAGAGTCAAACCAAGCAACTGAGGCCATTGTTTCAATATTTCTTAACTACATGTGTACAGTATACATACATTTGATGTGAACACAGAAGTCAGCAAAGGCAAAGTTACCTTTAAAAGCATCTTTGTCCACACAGAAAAATGAATATATCAAGCATAAGATTTTACAAAAATAATAACCTTTTTCCTAGTGTCTCAACATCCTCACAAAGACATTCATTAATTAACTCAATAAAACTGGAATTGACTGAGTGCATAAAACAGTTTTCACTGTACACTCCTAGCCCTTGTGCATTAATGTGCAGACCGTTGAATTATCAGTGTTAGTGTAGGAAATGGAAGACAGAGGCCTGTTACTACTAACAGGCTACTACTATTCACTGAGATGCGAAACTCAGCTGAATCAGCTGTGCTTAGGGGCAAACCATAGTTGAAAATTTATCACCTAAAAACAAAAAGAGAAAGGAAGAGGAATTTTAACACCTACCTTAGTTCATACCCTGATCCTAGAGGTTTTCTTGAAATTTTTCTTGGCCAAAGAGAGAGCGAGACGTGAAATGGCAACAATGGGTTGTGAAGAGGAGAGGAGAGAGAGAGAAAACCTCTGGTTCTTGGCTTGGCCTCAAATCTCACTTTCATGCAGATGACATGCAGATGACAGCTGTCAAACGCATCAAACTGCTAATAAAAAAGTGACCAAATATGGCAATTTAGCAAACATGTGAGCAGGAGTTGACCCGGGGAAATTAATATTGTATCAACAATCCATCTCCACTTGGGTAGTGAAGAGTGATAAGATGTCACTTGATCTTGTTGATAGCATTAATCGGGGTCAAGCATGGAATTTGCCAGGTAATTTGCAGCAAGAGTCCAGGAATAAAAACTCCGCTAAAAGAAACCAGCATTGTTCCCAATGACTTCTGCAGGATTTGCAGAATTGATTTTAAAACCAGTGGCCGATCTAAGATCAACGTTTTTGGAAAAAATAACAAGGAGTTTTTGAAAACATTATCATCAGTTCTGTTGTCCGATGTTATACAACAGAATATGATGGGAGTATTGCAGATAATCTGCCAGAGGTGCCAACGAGAAGTTTTGCAATTTTTGAGGGTGTTAGAGCAATTGGAAAAATTCTGGGAAAAATGTAACAAGGCCCTAAGAATTCAGTTGGCAGAGAGTTGCACAGGAAATGACAGAAGTGCTGCATGAAAGATTCTCCGGATGTTGTGTCTCAAATGCTTTGTCTGAGAGGCTAAGGCCTTTCAGAAGAAAGCAGAAGTAACATTTACACTGAAGCGATTGGGTTATAAACTGACATTCAAAGGACACAGCATCATAAGGTATTTAAATCATTTTTCTACCAAAGACGTGATAAATACCCAAAACCAGTGTCAGTTCTGGATATATTTAAAGGATGCATGCTGAGCAGAGCTACTCATTGCTCATTGTACTCTGAGATCGTGTAAACCTCAAAATATAAAATAATAAAAATAAATAAATAATGATTTGGAGGTAGCACATCCACATAGTGGTTCTTCGTCTACCTGATTCCTGGTCGAATTGGAATTTGGAAATGTTGGTTTTGAGGAGAGGGGAAAACCAGAGTACCCGGAGAAAAACCTCTTGGAGCAAGGGAGAGAACCAACAACAAACTCAACCGACATATGGCATCAGACCTGGGAATTGAACCCGGGCCACATTGGTGGGAGGGGAATGCTCTCACCACTACACCACCATTGCTCCCCAGCCATATCATCATTCAATGTTTAAAGTGTAAAATCCCTAGCTGAAAGAGTTCTCCTCACTGAGGCAATATGTAAAAGGTTTTCAAAGGTTTTACGCTAGTGAAGATGTGTGGCCTGTCACCCCTCGCAGTTTCCACTTATTTTACAAGCAATTTTCTTCCCTGGTAGAGGGAGGCAAAATTTACCAAAAGAAAGGAGGTGAGAAATATCCTCAGCATCCCCTCAGTAGTTACAGTCAAACGAACCAATCAAATTGATTTGCATGTTTCTAAAAATATCAACCAATCAGCACCAGAGGGTCAGATCCTGACCCTGTCATCTGCATGAAAGGAAGGTAAGGCAACAAGAGGTTTTACTCTCCCTCCTCGCCGCTTTGCGACACGTTGTCGCCGCTTCACGGCTCGCTCTCTCTTTCACAAAGAACATTTCAAGGAAAACCTCTGGGACCAGGGTACTACCTTCAATACAACTGCCTTTTTTTATTCTGCCTAAAGTTTGCGGTCTACATTTTTATCCTGACCGACCTTGAAATTCAGTTCGCTTTATCCAAATTTTCGACAACGTATATACTTAAACTCATTTAGTAGTAAACAATATGCTATAAGAGAGAAAGAGATCGAGACAGAATTTTCTTCTCTTTACGCCAAAATATGACCACTTACCTAGTTGGCACATTCCACTGTTTCTCTCCAAAATGTTGACGCGCAGCCCGTTCAGGCGATAAAATCCTCGTTCGGTTTTCCAATTCACATGGCCAGATATTAAAACTCTCTAAAGAGGCGAAAAGAGAATGATTGTGGAGCCTGCGATGAATTTCTTGCTTTAAATACGCACACACTAGATCATCGTTGGTCGCCATTTTACAAAATATCGTCCAGGCGTTACTCGGAAACTGAGGTAAAGACTAGGCAATAAGACCACTTGGGGTGCACCGGGGGTGGAAAATTTTGTTCTTCCCCCTTCGTGTAAGTGCCCAATCGTCGCTCTGTTCAAAGTCCGGAATAAATTAACCGATTCGAAAGGGAAGTAATGATGCTTGAAAGGGACATAATGAGGGGAATAGGCTGGAGCTGAAAGAATTTCAGCGGATACGAATTTCGGCTTAAGAAAATAGCACTGCTTTTTTGTTGCGACTGGTCTAGGGTCGTACCAAATCGCAATGACCAGTCTTTGACTTCATCTTAAGCCTGTTTTACCCTCTCATATCTCTTTGCGTCGGACAACTTAAGCTGCTCATTTTTCTATGCCACTTTTGTCTTACAAGCGACTTTGATAAACTGGGAAAGCTGAATAAGAGGACTCTAAAGAGTGTGCAACTATATCTGGCCACCGATTAGACCCAGTAATAGCAAATCTCCACCGAAGAAATAGCCTCCCCGCAGACGTCCTTTGGGGTTCGTTTGTCACGCATTCATTTCTCCCTCCGTGGGGGAGAAATGAATGCGTGACAAACGAGCCCCAAAGGACGTCTGCGGGGAGGCTACCGAAGAAAGAGAAGAAAACCACGCTTTACAACCGTAGACTTCAAAACGAGGCTTTATTGGATTACAAATCATTGAAAAAATCTTCCAATAGGCAATTTGCACTATGACATCATTTTACTATTACGACCAGAATCCTTCAGGGGTTTGCTTTCTTGTGCAAATGAGGGCTTTTGTTATTCAAACCTCACTGGGATAACCTAATTTAAATATGAAAGGAGAAACGACGAGCTACTAAATTACTAAAAACTCCAGTTAACCTGCCATTATTTGTTAAACGGCCCCAGTGCAGTTAAATTGGTCCCTAAGGAGAGTCATAAAATATAGGAACGCCAAAACAATAAAGGGCCTCTACTCGCTACTGCTATACAAGGTGGCCTTCGAGATTCCTAAGAATACTCACAGGGATAAGTTCTAACAACCGAAAACACTCCCTTATAGCAAATTCCTACCATGGAACTACGCTACCAACAAAAAAATTCCTTCTGGTCCATCATAACGACAAAACCAGTGGTGCTATGGTTAACCCCTGTTGGTGCTTTAACACATCATTTTGTTGTTGAAACTTCTGCTGTTGATAATGCGAAAGCTCAAAATATAATAATTTGTACACGTTAGTTGCTAATCACCTTTTTTGTCATGTCAGTGGCGTTACTTTGAAAATATCATGAAAGAGATGTTAGCTTTCTTTCTCAGCAAAGGTATAGTAAAAGGCGGTCAGAGCTGATTATTTATTTACTTATTTATTTTTTGCTGTGACTTATTTTTGTTGGTCTGTTGATGTTTTTGTTGTGATTGTTGTTGTTGCTGTTTGTTTGTTTGTTTTTTATGCTTGCTTTGTTTAACGTTGCCGCCCGGTTTCAAGCAAGCACTTCATAATAAACCTCCAACTCATCTGGGCGGAAATTATTCCCGTATCGTGTTCCAACCCAGATGCTATAGTCGCAATAAGGCCTGCGGTACGAGTGACAACTAAAGTAAGAACCGGTATTTCCTCCCGCATCGTCCGCAATATGCATATCATGGCCCGCACCAAAGGTTGGACCATAATAATCTTGGCTGTAAGTGGCGTGGTCATAGTAGCCGTTGGTTATGTCCTTTTTGAAGTATCCATACCCTTTGTAGTTTTTCAGTGAGTATAAGAAGGTATTTGTCGAATATTGATAACCAGCAGACCCTGAAGAGACAAAAAAACAAAACACAAACAATTAGAGATCCATTGTAACTGAGTCGAGTTCAATAGACCATTTTACAGCTATGGATGGAAACGAGGCTCGAGTGGACCTTGTGTTGATACAACCATAAGATTTCTGCTTTCTTATCTAAATCTTGTTTTCTTATGCTGATAACTAGTATTTTTCAAACATAATTCACATAATAAAATAAAGAAGGTTTGTATCTTCAGCTTCGCAATCACTAGAAGTCTATAGGGTACAAATCAAAGTCCATTTTTTTAGGAAACGATAGTGGGTTAGTAAATCACGGAGAGCAGGAAAGTGGTATATAATGCGTAAAATAAATAATAAATCAGGCTCAAATCCTCACGATCATGAACTGGAGCATCATAAGTTGCAACTAACTTCGTCCCCAGAGCTTTTCCATTAGTAAATTTAAAAGGGATGGCGGAACAAACATTTATCTTTTTGGATACCCCTGATCCTTGATCGTACAAGAAGACGCACGGCCAAGCCGTTGTACAAAAGGACAAAACAGCCAGTTGATGAAACTCAGGCAGTTGTCATCGCCGAGAATGCATGGAAAATGTGTCAGATTGTGCCACTCAAAACTACTGGTCAGGCTGACTGGTTGTCAGAAACGTTTTTCAAAGTACGCCTTAAGACAAATAATACTGATGGCAAATGTTTAAAATGAAATTTACCTTGCAACAATGTTGCGTGTTCTGTCGCACTTTGTAATAAAATTGTCGCACTTTATAATAACACTTGCCGCATTTTGTAATAACCTTGAAATGCATGGTAGGAGGATAAGTAAACCCAACAATAAGAAGTATCAGCATCAATAAAAAAAAATGATAATAAAAGTAAAATAATTAGCGATAGTAATACTAATAATAATAACAATAATAATAATAATAATAATAGATTATTGTTATTATTATTGAGAATGTTTTATGATGATGATGATTATTATTTATAGCGAAGCCGCTCACGATACAGCCACCACAATAACACAGTATTATTGTGCTCTTTATTTCCAACATCTAGGCATAACTCGATTGAAACAAAGAAATAATTTGATGTCGTTATGAAGTCATATTGTTGAATTTCTTGGCCAAATCCGATTCCATAATTTTTCTCTCATAGCGAAAACCGTTCACATAGTAATAATACCGATAACGATGATGATGATGATGATGATGATGATGATGATAATGTTTGTCTTATTATGACAATGATTTATCGTGTTGCCTCGGAGTTTGTGTTTTTAGGTTTTATGAAATATAAGTTTAGCGTTTATTCATGGCAGTAAACACTAACATTTTGCTATATCTCTGTTCATATCCTCGCAGGTAATGAAACCGGATTTCTTTGTTGCCCGTGCTACTAGTAAAACTTTCAAAAAAATTTGATTAATACACAATCATCTTTCGCCTGAAGGACACCTTACTTTTATGGACAACCCGATAATACGGATAGCGGATAAATTCCAATACAAACTCCCATTATTACGGACTCTTGCTGTTATGGACACTATCTCATGGTCTCGAGGTCGTCCGCATAAAAAGGGTTACCGGTGTACTTCCCTACAAAGATCTTGAAGCCGGAAGGCCGCAGTTGATGTGGTCACTTTCCTTTGCCCCCACTTGAGAAACTGGTGCTAAAAGCAGTTCAGTGGAGCGTTAATATTATTATTATTATTATTATTATGATGATGATGATGATGATGATTATTATTATTATTGTTGTTGTTGTTGTTGTTGTTTTTGTCGCTTATGATAATTATTATTGGGTTTACTTGTCCTCCGAGCATCCGTCTTAAGTTAACAAAGTGCAACAAGTGTTATTACATAGTGAGAAAGCTGTTACAAAGTGGGACAGGTACACAAAGTGTGACAATTATTACAAAGTGCGACAGAAAAGACCCGAGGTAAGATTTTCTTGCGAGAGGGCGAGGAGTATCTTAAAGTTGAGGTGAAATTTTGCATTTCAAGCACCTCGCTCGTTTCGGCGGTAAATCACATGGCCGCCCGGACTTTTAGAGAGAAAACGAAAATCAACAAAAAAAACCCGAGTATTTCTTCACGCTAAATTTTAATGTCTACATTAACTTAGATAGCAGGAAAAGAGATAGAGCGAGAAATACATTACCCTGGTCCCAGAGGTTTTTCTTGATTTTTCTTCGCGAAAGAGATCAAGAGCAAGTAGCGATGCGGCGATAACGAGTCGCGAAAGCGAAGAGGAGAGAGAGAAAAACCTCTGGTTACCTTGGCCTCGAATCTCACTTTCATGCAGACGACAGGGTCAGGATCTGACCCTCGGGCGTTGATTGGTTGATATTTTTTTCAAACACGCAAACCAATTTGATTGGCTCGTTTAATTGTAACTACCGAGGGGACGCTGAGGATTTTCACACCTCATTTTGCCTCTCTCTACCAGGCAAGAAAATTGTTGGTATGCTGCACTCGCAATAACATTTTCACGGGACCAAGGCACGTAAAGTCACCCCATATTTCGAGATTTTGACATGGATGTTGTTCCTGAAAGAATATTCGCAGAAATTTTGACCTCGGTACTTGATGAGCGCTTTCCTGAGTCTCACTGAGCAACAAAAGAAAGCTTTGTTCACCGCGTTGAGTCGAAAGGATGTGTACTTTCCATGTCCGGTTGATAAAATGGTGAATATAATATTTCAGTCGTTACCTGATGTTTGCAAGTACCTTTCCTTAAGAGGCTACTCATAAACCTCGCCATGCAATAATTTTGGTTGTCTGTCCTCTCAAGTTTCTTGTGGACTCGCATATCCGCGAACTGCGAAACCGTGGCGTCTCAGCAACCAGTTTGAGCAGTCCAGACGTTGACGACCAGAGTCTCTAAACTAACTTGTTTAGGGTAGCAAAATATAAATCTCCGAATACGGAATAAAAGTTTCCTTGTAGCAAAAATACATACAACTTTGTACAAGTACGTAATCATTTTCGGTGCAGCTTGCACTTTCCTGCGACGCCCAATATTTATCGTTAAAGATCTAACCAACGTTATTTTTAGCATTGGGTCAACAAAAACCTCTGAAAGTACATTCCGAACCTTAAGGGTTTGTTGTGCTGCATGACTCTTCCTAGCGCCGTTGTTCCACAAAAAAAGGAAATAGAGCCGCCAAACCAAAATGCGAGCCAGATTGCCAGAATACATATTAATATGACTATTTTGGGGGGAATGCCCGCGAATCGACGCGAACGGCGCGCCCCGCAGAAGTAAACAATAATTAGCGCGATTGATAGACTCTTCACTTTAGGGACGGACCATTAGAAAAGTTATGGGGGGGGGAGGGGAATTTTCGAGCCGCAGGAATTTTTTTTCGTTATCAAATTCCGTGTATGAATTTTTTTTAGGCCACAGCATGAATATTTTTTATGGTTAATTAGCTTGCAAGAATTTTTTTTCATTTAATTTTCCCTTGCGCGAATTTTTTTTTTTTTGTACGCCCGCCCCCCCATAAGTTTTCTAATGGTCCGTCCCTTACAACTTCCCGCTGGCACTTCTGACAAATAATCCCGTTGAGTCATATACACAGCCGACAGAACAGATGACAATGTTTGTGAAAAATCCTTGTTATTATACCCAAAAAACGTTGATTTTAGATCGGCCACTTATTTTTACATAAATTCTGCAAATCCTGCAGCAGTCGTTTGGAACAATGTTGGTTTCTTTATAAAGCGGTGTTCTTATTCCTGGACTCTTGTCGCCCATCGTTAACACATGTTTTAGCTTGACCCCGATTAACAGATCACTCTTTACCACCCAAGTGGAGATGGTTTGTTCATAACATAATTTACCCGGGTCTACCCCTACTTAAAAAAATAGAGGCTGATAAGCACGTGTTTGCTAAATTGCCATTGGTCACTCTTTTTATTAGCAATTTGACGCGTTTGACAGCTGTCGTCTGCATGAAAGTGAGATTCGAGGCCAAGGTAACCAGAGGTTTTTCTCACTCTCCTCGTCGCGAAAGCGACTCGTTGTCGCCGCTTCGCGGCTTGCTCTTGATCTCTTTCGCGAAGAAAAATCAAGAAAAACTCTGGGACCAGGGTAGAAATACAAAACAACGGAGACCAATTTCGTTGAAAGAAGAAAATGAGAAATGCTAGCGGCTACCAAAGTGAAAGTGAGCGGCAGTGAAAAAACAGAGCGAACAGGAACACAAACATTTTCTCCATAAAACGTGTAAATAGGAATTTAAAAGAAGTTTCACGTTTTAGGGCCTGTTTACATGGAGTGGGGGACCCCGGTCTAGTGGGATTGGTTTCTTACAACAAAAGAAACTTACCCCACTAGACCGGGGTCCCCCACTCCATGTAAACAGGGTCTTAGTGGGGCAAAACAACGGCAAGGAAATGTACAAAAAAGTGTGCTGCAAGTGCAAAGTTGCTTTTTTGCTAATTGGATTTATTGTTGTTGTTTTTTACCGTTCTCGTTGTCTTCACCTTGTCTTTAGTATTAGTCGATTTTACATTTTTGAGGAAACTATAAATATTAAAGAGGGCTTCGCTTTTAACCCTAGCTAAGTCTATATATTAAAAATCTATTTAAGGCCAGAGTTGTTTTAAAACTACTACCGAAAACTGTTAAGGCCCCATCTCTTCTTTTTTCACATTTGGGGTAAACGATCTCTCGGCTTTAATTCAATTCAACTAGTTGAAGCCTTAGTGGTAGATATCTTAGCTATTTCACGGACTTACATTGCCATGAATTGTCGTTGTAGCCTCCAAAAATATAGATCCCAACCCTAACAATTGTTACAGTGGGACCTTTGTTGTCGCAGTAGCTGTGAAAGGTTTGTGATCTCCAACCATGAGTGGAAGCTCTATAACACAATTTCCAGTAACTTCTGTCCGAACTTTGCAAGTGGGGAAGAAGCCAGTTATTTAGTTGTGTGATCTTGCTGACATCATTTGCTAAAATAACGGAGTCACTAAGGCCACCTGAAAAGGTAAGTCAGAAATTCGTCTTAATTTTAAAAGATGTCGTATGCCAATAAATCTGGGAACGATGCGAATCTGACCACTGAACAGTTGAGCCTGCAGTCGGGTTAAGCCGCGCGTGCCTTAGGGCCCGTTTACATAGAGGTGGGGGACCCCAGGTATTTGAGGTAACCCGCTCATGTGAATAACCCGCGTTTAAATGCAACCCCTTAATCCCGGGGAGCACTTTCTCAATATCATTGAATGGTCACCAAGCAGATAAACGACAAAACCGATCATGCTTCCCTGCTTTTAGTGGATTTGAAATATACTATATTTCAAACCCACTAAAAACATTTAAAAGAGAGTTGGATATTCTTGGAGAACAGCAAAATCAAGATGATCGACAGTAGGAATAGGCAGAAGTTGTTATTTTGAGCCAAATCGTTTGATGAAATGCCGTATGTATAAATGTTTCCTTATACTCCTTCCACATACTAGAAATGAACGGTTTTCAAACTTGTCACCTTCCATGTAAAAAGCTGTTTATGAATAAATACATGAAAAAAGCTCGGCTTACGATGAGGAGTGCATGTTTTTCCATCGCCAATGTGATGCGAATTCAGGTCGCACTTGCAAGCAAATGACCCTTCTGTATTGGTGCAGATTGCATGCGCGTCACAATCATGGGTGTTGAGAGAGCATTCATCGACATCTGAAAAATAAGAAGGATTTATTATTAAGCTCGACATTTTTCTCAATGAATATCATGGAAGTGCACTTTCTGAGACACGAAAATAATAGTAATCGACCACTGAGAAGAGACATCTTTTAATTTTTTTGCATAAAAGTAATTAAACGACATCACTTGTATCGTAAATGCCTTTTTAAGGCTTGTTAGAAGCCAATTATTTTACTTCTGCTTCTGGCTTGTACCTCGACAGGTTCGACCATCTCCCGTGTAGCCGTTGTTACAGATGCACGTGTAGGATCCATCTGTATTGTAACATGTTGCACTGCTGTCACACTGGTGACCTGAGGAACACTCATCGATGTCTAAAGCAAAGAAAAAAACTTTTTACCACCATTTCAAGAAATTTAGAGTACCCTAAATTAATTTTCAAAAGCTTCTGGCGTATAAGAAATATTTGCCTGCAAACAAGTAGTTCCAATAGGCCTGTGCGTGAGGAGCAGATAATTAAATTAGGTTTTAACCCCTCTACGCTTTTGCATCCGTCAGCAAGTTCATGTTTGAGTCATTCTTGTCCGTTCAGCAACGGATTTTAAGGTGTTTGGATACAGTTTTCAGAAGACCATACCAATATCTTTTAATCGCCTTAAAATTGATTTTATTCTTGTCCGATCGCTACAAAACTTTCACCAGTAATTGACAATGAATTGATCTTTGTCACAATGCAGTTTTAGTAAAATCGATATCACCATGACGACAATCTTGATGTTCGGCCGTTATCTGTAGTTACGAAGCGTTTTTGAAATGCAATTCCAACTCACAGTAGTTTCAATCTCTTTAAAAACGTTCGTGAAAGATAATGGAGATAGCTCTAGCCGATTCCTAGAAAGAGGTATTTGATTAGGCGCGCTTGTTAGCGGTGTGGGAACATTTTGGTCTTCTCTAACAAATAAGAAAAGAATTTTGAAACAGGTCAATAGATTTTTCTTCAAATTTGTGATTAACCGTCATTTTAAATCCTTCTTTGGTATACCAATCGGCTAAAGTTATCTTCATAATCTTTCACACACGTTTTAAAAAGATTGAAACTGCTATGAGATGTAGTTGCATTTCAAAAGCACTTCATGTTCTTAAGATAACGGCGCAACGTCAAGATTGTCCAGTTTTTACCCCATTTCTAACTTTTCAAACACCAACCCAAAATATCTCGATAACGCTCTCATAGATCTCGCTTAAAATTCACAAACATCGAGTCGACTATTGGAGGAAGAATTAAGTTCCCGTGAAGGATTTTTGAAGAACAGTTTAAGTGCCGAGAACGACTGCAAGTAAAATAGGTAATGGCGTCATTTGGTTGCTATGATAATTCCGATGCCGTCATTGTAATCATTGAGTTCTAGTTATTGGCCATTCTTTTGTGCGTTGTTTAGCTTTCGAACTTAAGAACAATATTGACGGCGCGCTTCAGAGACGTTTTACCTCTTGAAGAATGTTTATGTTCTTTTACACGGCATCGGGGGTCCCACAGTCGAATAAGCAATTTTTTCCGTTTTAATATGACCCATATTGGCCTGATGGTGTTCATGTTAACGCTACTGGACAGTACTCTCTGTATCGGAGCTATCGAAGCACTATCACGAAAGGCTAGCCAGCGCCGATTTCTGTGCTCCCAGCTGTGTACATGTACCAGGATTTGAGTAGGCGCCGTTATTAGATTGTTAATAAGCCATTGCTCGATTGGCCATTCACGTTGAAGGAAAATTCAAAACGCGCAGCCGATAATTCGTTGAGTCCGTTTGGGGTCTAGATCAAGAATCTCGACCCTGCTTCGCAGACGTTACTAACTGATTGAGAAGAGATTAAGTCTGCGACGCAAGTTCTTGGAGCCCCTGCCTTTCTAATGTACCTTTCAACAGAGCCCTTTTTGGACTAAACTTTTTATCTAGCTCTTGATGTTCTTTTTTTGTAAAGTTCTTGTTGCCCAACAATTTTATTTTGCTATTTGTTACTACACACGTCTACTACGGCGACCTTGGGTCAGCCATGCTTGTCCTGTAACATGATTTTTGTGTTGGAGACCCTTTTGTTCTAGTTTTTCAGCGTTTTGTATTTGTGACCTGAAATTGTCACTAGCAGCTGTTGAAAATTTGAAGTATTTATTGGACAGCATTTCGTTCTACCCTTAAAATATTAGCCTATATTTGCCAAAAGTATTGTTAATAAAACTACCGGTAGTTTTTCAAGGAAAAATAGATTTGGTGCTCCAGAGCATATAATACCTGTGCATGCCAAGCCATCACCAGCATATCCTGCGGAGCAATGGCACTTATAGGAGCCAATGGTGTTTGTGCAGACAGCATTCTTGTGGCAGTGGTTAATATTTCCTCCACATTCATCGAAATCTAATTTAAAAATCAAGTAATTAACAATTGTTTAATCAATCAAACCGCCAATCGATTGTCAAATACCTTTTTTATCAAAAAATGAAATGAACTTAATATAAACGTATGCGCACATGGATCAGTCAGTTAAAACTCTTCTCGATGATCGGACTTATTCAAAAAACGCTAAAAGCGTCAGCCTCTTGGATTCTTTCTGCGATGTCTAATTTTTCTACTCACTGATTTTCTTTGATTTTCTTGTGATTTTCTAGTTTTCTGAATTTCTAGTGCCTGATTTTCTTTCTAAACTAATCCTTCAACCCATTCCCTTTGGAACATTTCGATAACTGACAGATTTGCAGTAAACTCAAAACACTTGTCCAGGTGCAAATTGGTAAGATGCCAGTATGTCTTTTTCGGCAACAAGAAAGAAAAACTTTACATTTATGTATCAATGACCCTTAAAGCCTGGCGGCGTTAACTTAAAGACCATTTTTAATTTCCTAGAAACGCTCCCTTGCAAAATGATTTCAACTGCTAAACCTTTCTTGGCGAAGGAGTCTCGTTGGAACACTTAAAATTAAGGTTTGGGGCTACTTGGAAATGGCTTTTTGAATAACAGCTAGCAATAATGCTGCTGCTGCTGCTACTACTGATGATGATGATGATGATGATGAGGAGGAGGAGGAGGAGGAGGATGATTATGATGATGATTCATAGAAAATGAGTTTAAGTGCGAACCCTTACAAGAGGAAGGGGTTTATTTGAATGAGAAGAGAGAACAATTTCCACATGTAAATAAAAACTTTGAAGTTGACCTCGATTTGAAAAATCAGCTTGGTGCAAATCGCAAATGGCTTTTGAATAGGAACTAATGATAATGGTAATGATGATAATGATGATGATGATGATGATGATGATGATGATGATGATAATGATGAACATCGCCTGTTATTATAGAAGAGAGGTAAGTCACCCACAAACCTTCTGAGCAGGTATAGTTATGGCATGTATCACACCTCACATCATTCCACTTAAAACTATGTCTGACTCCTAATGTGTGAACGCAATCTTCATTGTTGAAGTTGTTTGGTTGGTTTTTCGCCCAGTATGTGAAATTATTGGTTTGATTATCTGCCCAGGTGAAATTGCCCTCGGTGACCCTATCGTTTAGACCAATCCAGCCCTTAGCACCATTCAGCCGATGCTGAATATAAACGTTTTCTTCTTGATTCCGTACGATGATGAGGTTGGCGCTGTATGCCTGGCAGATTTTCTCTGCTTCGGTCCAATTCTTGCATGAATGGCTTGTCGCGTAGCAAATACCGTTAAAATATGACCAGCCCGGTTTGCATACATCTGCAATATTACAAAAAAATTTGTGTGAAGTAAATAGTGCCAAACGAAGAGAAAATAAGGCACATAGGCCAGACGTCGAACGTTTCATGAAACGAACCAAACTTAGTGAGTTAAGTTTATGAAACGTTTTACTTTTGGCTCAGTTAAGATAGTCTGAATGAGTTTGGATCGTCCAACATGTTCAGACGGGCAGAGCGTCCGAAGATCGTCTCCGGTACAAACGTCGATCTTCACATGTCCTTAACTAAACTAATAAATTTAAAAAATTGTTGCATAATGTATATAAAATCGTTCGGGGGAAAATAATTTTGTTACTGATCTGATTCACATGATTGGCTCGATGCGTCCTATATATAAAGATCGACGTCTGACCCAGCAGATCTAGACGAGATCTTAACGTGAGTATGGTCAACCCAAATTGGCGTATGGTTCGTTCCATCTAACAATTGCTGGGCGGCAAGAGAAGGTCTTCGCAAAGAAATTATTAAATTTGTTTTTATTATTTACCAACCTGCTAGTACTGTGTAGGAGACAGTCACAGGATCATGCTGGTCAGCGAACAACTCCTTGAGACAAATGCGAAATTCGCTGGTCTTGATATGCTGTAAAATAAGCATATCATCATAATCATATTTACCTTAGAAGAACAGTAATAGCTCAACTTAAAGAGACTTTCGCTTAACAGCCTGTAACTGAGTCATTTCCCTATCTAAACAAAAAAAGAACATGGGAAACTGACCTTGAATAACAGATAGACAAATAGATGGAATGTTTCGCTGCGCGACTGTCACTGATAAACAGATTGCATGAACAGACCTTGGTGAAATTTAGCTCATTTGCGCATTCCCTATCAACCCTGTCAGCTTGATGTTACTTATTTTGAAGAAATTGTGTTGTGTATTAGTTAAATAATTTGAGAATACCTCAATCCATGGGGTCACGGACATGTATATTGGCTTCAAATTGTTGCCCTCTGAGTTGTGACTGGCTGCTATTAATACTATGGGTTCTTTGTCGTAATTCTTTGCAAATGGGACGTCCTAAGGACATAAAAAGAAGGCTGTTGATATAAAATTTGAAACACCATCCATTCCTGATCAACGCATAGTCATATCATAGGTGATGAACGTTCATAAAACAAGTTCCTTTCATCTCTTTTCTTTTGAAAGATCATGATGACATGATATGGCAACTAGACGAGAGATTAATCATGGTCGACTTTCTTCGTTGTTACTCCTATTTATTAAGTTGGGATAAAATCTGGAGTTTTTACAGCCGCAAAGATGATTTAAAATGCCTAAATGTACTTATTTGATAGCTGCTTTTCTCTGCTGTTCCATTACACTTTCAAAAAAGTCCTTCGTCGGATTTAATATGGCGCGGGATGAAGGTCGAGAGGTGGACTTGTAGCAAGTCTACTGTTCCATCTAAAAAGACAAAGAGCTTTCTTCTGCTTAAAAGTAAAGTTGCGTCTTACCTTGCAAAATGCACCATTGTAGCTTGTAGAAACGGAATTGTTGTTTGGAAAATCCACGTGTTTGCTCTCAGCGAAAAGGGGCCTGTGGATTGTTTCAAAGGCCATCCAACTCTAAAAAGAGGGATAGCAATGAAAAGTGGATTGCTATCTCATACCTAACTCCCGTGTAAAAATATTTGAGCCATGTGCCTGAAAAACAATTTGTAACTTGTATCCACAATGCTTGCGAGAGCTCATTTCACGTATATTATCATTGACCCTATTCAGACCGTTTTTTTTTTGCTCCCTGCGAGCGCGGTGGGTTGGCTTTGGAGGCTCCCCTCTATAACTTTAAAACCTGTAATGATACGGCCACCAAAATTACACAGAATAAAATATTTTCCAACGTCTAGGCATAATTTAATTGTCACAATGACGTTATTTGACGTCATTACAACGTCATATTGTTGAATTTGTTGGCTGAATAATGTGCTGCATTAGATAGACTGTCATGAGTTTCTCAATGGCTATTAACCTACAACCTCCCCCCCCCCTAAAAAAGGCCTTTCATAACTTCCTATATAATTCTCTCTGTATGCCAGTTTGAAATCAGGGCGCGTTTTAGATTGAACATGGCTCTCTTAGTGAGCATTCTTAGAGTTTTTTGTGGCTGCCTTAAGCAAAGCTTTCCAGAAGGCATCATGAAACCTTACGAAGGAACAAGTCTCACGATTAAGTCTGCTACGTCGTCTCGTATTTCGTCTCATTTAGCTGCACGGATGAAAGACTGGTCCCGGGTTTGAGAAGGAAAGATTGGATATTGCGAGCTTTGTTGTTGGCAGCAAAAAGTCTTTGGCCTCACAAAGGAGGTTCTAGGGGTAAAATTTATCCGGCGAGATGGAAATTGATGCTGATCTCTGACCAGGACAAAGACGTCTTCGTCAAAAATTGTTTGGAAGGCGGGGGCTCCATGTCTCCTTTTCAACCGCTGGTTTACATCCAGGATCTTGAATAAATCGACTGTGTGAGTCGAGAAAAGTTTCCATCGACGATTTATGTGCAGAATGCGACAGTTTTTCCGAGTAATTTGACGATGATTCGCCCCTGTTAAATGTGGAAATATTACGAGTGGTTTTTGGAAGTTCTGTGATGGCCACGAAATTAATATTGTGTGATTTACCGAAAGCGTTGACAAACAAAATTCAGGTATGTGGTTGAGCTCGTGTTACCAGGTTACGGTATAAAGCATTAAAAAAAACGCTTCGCAAGTATTTAGTTTAGGTGATTTTGTCTTAGAAAGCCTATTCTGTGCTCAAATATTGTGGCTTCTTAATCTGTTTTCGGCAGACACTTGCCTATGGGGCCTCATGGTTTGGCTCACTAAAAGGTTATAATTTCTGGATGTTTCAAATGTTCTTTATTTTATACCAAAATCCTGTTACTTCTGAGAGAGAAATTAACCATCGGTTGCCAGCAATAAAGTTGTCAGCTAGTATTTTGTAGCTACTTTCCAGTCGACTTAGATATCAAATTGTTAAAATGCGCTTGAAATTTCTTTAGCCACGATTTAGCAAACTCCAGACAGGTATATTTATAAAGGAGAAAACATATACCACAAAGATATCTTCATGCAGACCATCATAATTCTGTAGTTCTCGAAGACAAATGTAAAAGGAGGAACTGGTTGCGTTTTCCACCCACAAACTTGCGGCATCATGCCTAAAGTCTGCACTTATATGTTCTGCTGTAACCAGGACCGTTGGTGTAGACGCAAATTTTCCCTGTTAAAAAAAAACATTCATAACAGTAAGAAAGTTGAATTGGTAATCATTCTCCTATTTTTTTTGTATTAAATAATGCTTTTTTAAGAATATCTTTTTAAGAATATCCCCCTCTGAAAAATAGTGTAAAAATTGAAAAAGGTTTAAAAATGGCCTATGTGTCAGAAAGAATTTCGCGGACAGAACTGGGCTGTCTCTTTGCAGCTCATGTCTCCAAGTCCAAGTACGATATCTTTGATTGGATAACAACTGGAGTGTTTAGTACTTATGACATCAGCATAGCAAATGTTCACCTTATTGAAAACTTAACTAAAGGTCATTATTTTTTATGGTTTATGCAACGAAACAAGATGCAGCTGAGAGGTAACAATAAAGTGTTATTGCCTGAGGAAGGCTGACTTTTGAGCACTGTGATCCAGTCCACCATTCTGGAATGCGCATTTTACCCGCCACACCTCCATCAGGAGCACCTTGGTAGGCCATCCAGTCCACCGTGGCAAATTCTTTGACAAAGCGATCATTTCTTCCTGCTGCAGTCACGCACACCTAAAGATAAAATGTAATGGCTCATGTTTATTTTATATGGTAAGATAATATATAGATTTAGCCAAGGCCAAATGCGAAGCTCTCGTGGTAACTTACTTCCTGAAGTAAAGTTTTCTAAGCCTGCGATCTCTTGAATTCTGTTACTGGTCAGCGGAGAACTTTAAAAAAATCCGTCATTTCAATAAGTTGCCCACCTGAGCCCGCCATAAAGTCATGTGACACTGGTCTGCGGATGCCCTACTTTGACAGCTGTCGATTGATTATAACATGGATGTCCAAAATCGAGTTAAACACAATTTGTATATGTTTTGGACTTACAACTAGTAAGACATTTCACATCCTTTAACATGAAGACGCGGTCCTACGTACGTACGCACGATTTTGTTAGTAACCAAAATTTCTTGGATGCATAGATAACCAAATTTTCTTATCCATAGTGTTCCTCTGCGCGCGCAAGACGCGAAATCTCCGCTAGTAACTCGTTGTGAAAATAAAATATGTTCAAATAGTATTTTACTGGCCAGAAATATGACAGGTAAACAAGAGTTCTTGGAGATGTAGGACAAATGAACAGAGGCTCACTAATTACTACTTGAAGTAATACTTGAATTGAAAACTTCTTTTTAAAATATTCACCTCAAAATTCTCGAAGTTAACAGTTTCCACCCAGGATACAGTAGCATCATGTACAAAATTTTTCTCGCTTATGTTCCAGTGATTGGTCGTTATTTGTACGTGCACTTCTTTGTCCGGATAGAATGAAAACGGTGGAAATTTCACTACTTCACAGGCCGTCTCTGTCCACTGTACATGTCTTCTCAGTGAAACTCGTCCAGTCTGAACAGGAAAACCTGTCGAGGAACAACAAGAAAAAGAAGATACAACATAGAAGAAAAACAAAGCTAATTAGAGCTGAAAGCGATAAAAAACAAACAAACAAACAAAAAAACAACAACAGCCATAAAGTTAACATAAAGACAAAAAAAAAGATGCATCCTACAAATACCTGATGAGGATGAGAAAAAAAAGGTATAAAATCCTTTCTATATGCGAGGAAGTAATTTAAAAGCTGATTATACCATCACACAATCATATAGTGGCACTATATAACTGGCACTTTATTGCGTTCAAAACAGTACCAAAATAAACAAAATAGTATTTAATCATGATCAATTTTGGACCTACAGATGCACGGAAAATGCCATGTGCATGAAACGGAATTCCAAGATGGCGCCCAAGATGGCCGCCAAATTGAGTGATGTTATAAGTAATCAGCCGGACCATATCTCATAACACTAGAGCTCTACATACGCTGGCTAAGGTGGTTTTAAAAAAACCTTGTAATCCGCTCTCTTACCTGTACAGCTACCGGGATGATAGAGAGTGTGGTTACTCTTGCGCCTGCAAATGTCCAGCAGACAAAAGCACTTGTTCTTAAATGTTGTCGAGTTGGATGAACACACTGGCTCCTCGTACGACGGGCAGTTGTCATCACAAACACAGCGGGCATCAAATGCAGAGAAAGCTTTGCAGATGGCATGGTAATCGCAAGTAACGTTTGTGCACGGGTCTATATCTTTTAGGGCAAAAAAACAACAACAAAATCAGCACTTGTGTAAATAGCAAATTGATCTGACGTCCTATATCCTTTGAGAGCGCAACTGCTTTTTGATATTTTTCAATTGTGCTTTGTTTTTCCCGTGGAGAAAATTTATGGCAAAAAAGGATACGAAAGGGAAAGTTACCTTTTCTACAAAAACGCTTGAAAAAGAGGTACACAGCTGCAGTTATTCACCCAGATAATAAGACGATCAATACGAAGTTGTTCTTAATACTTAAACGCCATTTTTTATAACTTCTTTCTTGGACATTTGATCATAGTTTTTTACAGTGACAATTGCCTGACTTTATTCTTATTCCAATTTATTTCTTCAATTTGACCTTTGACCCAACGTCCAAATGCCTTGATAGTAGGACGAACCAGTATGAGAGACAAATCTTTGAAATTAAAGAATAAGCAAATATAAGAGTAATGTACCTCCCCCTATTGCATAGTCCACTGTAACTGGATCGTGAGACTTGCTCATTCCCTGACTGTCTTTGATGCACACTTTGAAAGACAAACGAGTGATCTCCTGGAAAATAACATCAAATATACCGATAAATAAAAGTTTGTATTGACTTGTTAGCTTTCAGACAGGGGCGTCCAGTTACGGCAATAAGGACAAGAGCAACTTTGAATCGTTTAAACGGACGTACAGTTCTCACGGTTATATAGTGGACGCTGCTGTCTGTTACAGTGGGATTACTATAACAGAGGTCACCTAGACAAAGTTGACCAATCGGGTTACATGAAAATAACAATACATTCCGAGAAAGTTGGTTGTCAATTACTTAACCATGAACCCACGGAGCCCCCGTTAAGAGGAAAATGAGTACGGAAAATGACAACAAGATTGTTGATTCAAGCTATTGCTTGAATTTGCCGTCAAGTGTTAAGTGCCACTTCGAACTTCTTCTTTTATTAGTCATAAGTGCTTTACTCTTTAGCGAAGGCAACTGTTTTAACCAGCAAATATTTGAAACAGTTTCAACTTATTAGGTCTCTTCAAGGCTACTCACCTCAATCCAGACAGTCAAAGCGTTGCTATAGCGACCATCTGCCTTCATTGATAGTTCCCTGGTGCCATTTTCATGGCTGGCAGACGCCAGAATATTGGGCGGCTCGTAGAATGGATTCTCAAACTTATAATCCTAAAAATCAGGATTTACCAAACACAATAATTTTCCCTCTGACTGTTTAAAGAAATATTGTCGCTTCCATCCTTTTGAAAAAAGTGATATTGTCCCAGTTCATTAAGGAACTGATTAGGCAAACTCTAGGTCTATAAAATATATCTAATAGTGGATGCATCTCCTTACAACGTAGCGGTCAACAAATCTAAATCACAACTCTTGTGAACAACGCATGAGGTTTTAACGAATTATTGATGATCAAGAAGGTCGTATCTCTTGTTGGACTTCAAGTCTTATTTCAAAAATGCACAATACGCCGATGCCACAGTGTCCCTTGAAGAAATGACAAATACACAACACAAACATTGTTTGTTAACCACGTTCGATTAAAGGCTTGAGTTTGGAAGTTAAGTCAATAAAAATTGAATGCATCATTAATAGACGTCACATTTTCCAACCTGACAAAAGGCATAATTGTTCTCTTTCTTTGGTGCACCAAGTCCAGAAAAATGAAGCCTTCCTTGCTCAGTAAAATTCCAAGCCTCAGGTAGCAAATCATAAGCAAGCCAGTTCTGAAAAGGTGGACGCAAGTAACAGTCACAGCATTAAACGTCTTTCCTTATGGTTTTTAAGAAAACTTAAACTGACGGTGAGAACCCTGAGAAAAATTCGTATCTGCAGTCTAGGAAAGAAGCAAAATACGATGACCTATATTTAACACTATTGTGACCGGGCGTTTTTGGGCTTCTGGGAATTGGAGGGGAAGGGGCCTTCGAAGACCCCTTCGAGAACTTTATAACCACTCATGATACCGCCACTAAATTTACACAAAATAGTGTAATCATCATTCCAATAACTAGGTGTAATGTGATTGACACAGTAACGTAATTTGACGTCACTAATGTCGCCTTGTTGCATTTCTTGTCTGAACCCATAGCTTATCAATTGTTCCCGTAGCCATTAAGCAAAAATAATTAAATTACTTAAAAATCATGACTATGGTTGACACTTTGATAATCTTTCACAATGGCAGTGACAACATGTTGACGTCATTTGTTACTGAGACCATATGCCTTTTTGGATCTGCCATTTTGAATTATTTAAATTTATTTAATTCCATTTATTCCTGCTAGTTGGCAATTTTAAATTCAATTAATTTTTCCAAACTAGTCACTAAAAAGCCTTGATCATATAAACAGCTACGTAAATAATGCTAAATTAAGTGTGACATAATAATTCATTAAAAGTAAATCTAGAAAAAGTGCAAAGTTTGAAAAATGTGGCTATCAAAACTGTGCTCAGACAAATTTCAGCAAAATCGCCAAGTTTGATGGTCCTAGTTTGAACTGTTTTAAATTTATTCAACATTGAAGTTTTAAGATGCCTCAAAGCCACCGGGCTGAAGAAGATTTAAAAAAAAAATAGATAAATAAATGAATAAAAAACGGATAGCTTTTATGTGACATCACAACACACTAGTGAACCCTAAAGTTTCGGCTTTGGGAAATGACGAGGATAGTTTAAATGCGCTACTTCAAGAAAACTTTCTTTCTTTTCCAAAAGCCTGCACATGCGCAGCCCGCGGGATATTTTGTTAAGGCTGAAAAGCCGCTCTATGAAAGAACCCCGCTCCGTCATCAGCGTCCCCCCCCCGCTCCTTCTTTTTTTCACTTCCAGTCCACCCCTCCACCCCTTTCGATTCGTCAGGCTGTCTTTGCAAAGCTAATTCAGAGATTTACGGTTTTAAAACATTTATGGGTTAGGTATTACAATAATTCTTCTAATATAATTTTTATATAATTTATAAGGGGAGGCCAAACTAACCACCAGGGTTTTAATTAGCTTCCATACAATCAGATTTAATTTTAAATTTAATTGATAACAAGTCGGACAAAGAAAAACTTAATAGTCGAAGACTGGGCTAAATTTTTTAAAACTCACCACTTTAAGTCCGGTATGGATACCGTCGAAACTCATAAACTCTCTCAAGCAAACAACGAAGCTGTCTGCTTTGACTTCTTCTAGCCAGATGTTCATGGAATCAAAAGGACGGTTAGAATGTTTATGTTGAACGGTTACAAACACTTGAGGTTTTATCTAAAAGAAGAGGAAAAATCACCACATAAGTAGCTTAAATATGATTAACGACCGTTGCCCCGAAAAGGGCCGGATTAACAGTGACTGACTTTATGACAAGCTTATGGCCATTATAGCTTCACAACAATTGTTGATTGGGGAAATAATTAAGTATCGACTTCGTTGCGGCTTTGAAAAGTTACTCGGTTTTGCATGCGGCGCTTTCCCAGAGTGAAGAGGAGATTCTTGAACAGCAAACAAAATATAGGAAAAACGGACGATTCATATAGTGCTAAGCCCTTTTCTTCTTAAAGGGGATATGCCACGATGATATTGCTGCTTTAGGCCAATTCTGTGCTGAAGTAATCACTGTGTCCATTTATCCATGCATTAAATGTTCCTGCAGAGCCATGAAGAAGATATCAAACAACTTTTATCATGGAGCACTATAACCATTACATTTTTTGGTGATTTTTGCAGGCAAGTATTCAAACAATCTACAAAACAAGGCCATTTTTTGGAACTTTACGCGCGGTTTAGTTATTTTTTCCCTTAAGGTCGAAGTTGAGTCACGGGTTTTTCATGAGTATTGACTTTAAAACTAAAATGGAAGACTAACAAAGAATAACATCGCGAAGTTACCTGATTCTTAATGCTCAGCGATATCTTCTTGCATTGTGTTCGTGACGTGAATTCATTAAATTCCACGATCCCTGAGTGTATGCCTTGATGCGAACCTTGAAATGCAAGCCAGTTGATCACAGACGTTCCACCAGAGCCACTACCTGCTTCGCGCACGCAGGCTTCAAAACCTGTTGTTGACACCGACTTCACCCAAAGAGACGCTGGCTCGTGGATTTTAACATATTTGTTTCCGTGACTGAGCGTCGCGAACACCTTTACATCTCCCGAACCCTGGAATTGAGTTTCGAAAGAAACGGCTTGGCAGCCATGGTTGTTTTGGGAAGTGTCGGTAATATTTACCTTCCCAGCTTGAAAGACAGCCCCTTGAATGTAAAAAAATAAAAAAATAAATAAAAATAAAAAAGAACTATGATAATGATATACACGATAACGATAACAATGACAATAACAATAACGATAACGATCATAATGATGATGATAATGATGATGATGATGATGATGATGAAGATGATGATGAAGATGATGATGATGACGACGATGACGATGACGATAGACCTGCCAGATGATGCGGAAGGGGGTATAGGGGCAACATATAACGTAGTATTTTACAATTAGACCAGATGAAAGGCGAGATAACAGCGGAACACATCTGAAGAGAAATTAAGACGGTTGTGTAGATCCAAATTGAATGGCGGAAATCTTATTAGTGCATCAATGTCTAGGCTGTAGGTTTAATACGCTACAGTGCAAGTATCGTGGATTGCATGTTGGAAGGGCTGGTCAGTATGGATAGAAAAACTAGGAAGTTATTGGCGGTAAATGGCTATTTACACACAAAAGGTAATGTTGCCAGACTGTATCTACTGAGAAAAGAAGGGGTGAGGGTTGATTGGTATTGAGGAGTGTTAGAAGGAGAGAAAAATTATTACATGGCTACCTGAGAGATATCAAGAGAACGGTTTGTTGAAGAAGAGAATCTTAAGGACTATCAGAAAAGAAGGGAAGAGGAGAAAGTCAGAAACGGAAAGCTCCACAGGGAGAATTTACTACGAAAACTTCAGATGTGGCTGAAGAGGAGTCCTGTGGATGTCTCAGGAATGGTTTTGTTCAAGATGGGAAAAGAAGGTAAAGCAATGCAAAGGCCTGGTATGGAAGATTAAGTTTGCCCGACATATTTTGAAGTACTCAGTTATCAGCCATCAATTCGTACTGCTCACATTTTGCGGAATGTGCTGTGCCTCTAAGCTGTTGGATGCAGCTGAGAAATGAGAGGACCAAGAAAAACACCATGGTGCTGGCGAGAATCGCCCAATAATAATGATAATGATAATAATAATAATAATAATAATAATAATAACTGCAATAAATTGATAAATGTTAATCGTTAATTTTTGGTTAAGTATGCACTTGTTGACCTAATCATCAGTTTCAATAAAACCCTTTACATTTCAGTTAGTAACGAAAGTTTGAAAACCTTAATAAATAAGCAAAAGAAATCAAATAAATTCTGAATGCAACAATATCTATTTCTTGACAATATATATATATTAATTGTTTCTGAATATTTGGTTACCTTTCCCCATTTTACTATCCTTCTCATATCACCCTAAAATGATGCGATCCTCTTATTTGGAATTATTTCGCTATGTCATGCAGATCAATTTACCATTTTTGAATCTATAGGTCTAATCCATCTGGATTAATTACACCCCATAAGTGGTTTACTTCCTTGAAAGCGAAGGTTGAGTTCGGGCCTCACGTCTCTTAGAACGTGCTTTAAGCCTGAGATCGTCGTCTACAAATTTTTTTGGGGGGGGCCTGGAGAGTATTTTTTGTCAGCTTCATATTTTTGCTTATCCAAGACGAGTAATCCTGCATAAGGGTTTTGTTGACGCACGTCTTCAGAGACTCAGAGGAAGCAAATTTGGACGCGCAACAGGTCTAATCCATCTGGATCAATTACATCCCATAAGTGGTTTACTTCCTTGAAAGCAAAGGTTGAACTCGGGCCTCACGTCTCTTAGAACGTGCTTTAAACCTGAGATCGTTGTCTATAAATTTCTTTTTGGGTGGGCCCAGGAGAGTATTTTGTCGGCTTGAGCGTGCTTTAAGCCTGAGATCGTTGTGTATAAATTTCTTTTTGGGTGGGCCCTGGAGAGTATTTTGTCAGCTTGATATTTTTGCTTATTTAAGACGAGTAATCCTGCATAAGGGTTTTGTTGACGCACGTCTTCAGAGGCCCAAAGGAAGCACATTTGGACGCGCAACAGGTCTAATCCATCTGGATCAATTACATCCTATAAGTGGTTTACTTCCTTGAAAGCAAAGGTTGAGTTCGGGCCTCACGTCTCTTAGAGCGCGCTTTAAGCCTGAGATCGTCGTCGATAAATACCTTTTTGGGTAGGCCCAGGAGAGTATTTTGTCAGCTTGAGCGTGCTTTAAGCCTGAGATCGTCGTCTATAAATTCATTTTTGGGTGGGCCCCGGAGAGTATTTTGTCAGCTTGATATTTTTGATTATACAAGGCGAGTAATCCTGCATAAGGTTTTTGTTGACGTACGTCGTCAGAGACCCGGAGGAAGCACATTTGGATGCGCAACAGGTAAAATTATTACCTACAAGGTTTTCAAGAAGTACCGGAGAGAAGTCTCCCAGTTTCCAGTTTGCTTGGAGAGATTTCACCCATAAATATCCCGCACCACTAGTTGCTGCCCTTGTCCCTCCTAAGATGCGCATGAAAAATTGTCTTCGTAGATAAACAAATACCATTGGGGTGCTCGAGAAAACGATGAAACGTGCAGTCTGCACCAAATTTGTATTGGTCAGATTGCAGTCAATTGTCAACCCCCTTAACAAAATTTGCCAACAACATTCTTGTTTGATGAAAATTACCAGAAATTTGTTATTTACCAGTACAATAATCGATGGTCATTAGTAACTTACCACTGGTAAAATATAGCTGCAAATAAAGCACCTGAGCGGCAAGGAAAGCAAAGAGTGGCTTCGTCATCATTGCCTTAATTCTTTACGGCTGTGTATTTGATATTACCTCTCCTCTGTTGTAAATGCGTATATGGACAGTAGGCATCTCTAATTAAACCTTCTCGGTTTTGGAATGAGGAAGACTTACACCAGTTATTTAGCACCTATCTCTCCAACGGGGTTAAAGGGTCGTCGGACCATGTGAGCGTTTTAGCGTATATTCCGCTGGCGTTGTCGGCATTGTGGAAAATGATTGGCTGGGGTTCGACAACTACTTACTACAATGGTCCTTGGGGATAAACGTCAAGCAACGTTGTTTAACCTTATCCAGTGAGCTTAAACCTTTTATAATCAGCATCCGTTGGCTAAACATGCCACTTTCTGGAAATAAACAACTATTCATGCGACATTGAATTAAGATCGTAAACAGGTACACTAGGTATCGCAGATTGTCTTGCTAAAAATCAGGACATTTTCTGTTCTGAAAATACAGGTCATGTAATTCGAGGTCTTAGAGCACAGAATATACTCGTAATAATGGCCTCAATCAACACAACGATGCGTGGAAGCTCTGCAGTTGCCAAAATTAAGACACTTAAACTTATCAGACTTGGAAAAAAAATAGGAAGATATTCGAGTACATGATTCCGCATTCTCCCGCTTAAACGTGATTAAAGGAAAGCTGATGTTTGTTATCTTAAAAATTGACCGACACGTACACCGCTTAATACAAACAGCTATGGACTCTGGCCCTGTTAGGACACCGACTATACCGTACATCAGGGGTACCTCTGAAACTATTGCCCGTATATTACAACCTTACAATATACGTGTTGCACATAAACCGATAACCACTTTACGGCGACTGGTTACTAATGTCAGGGACAAAGACAAACCGGAGCACAGACAGGGAGCAGTATACAAGATCAAATGCTGCGACTGCCAGGCTTCTTACATTGGTGAAACCGGCAAAACCTAAGCACGCGACTGACCGAACACAAACGAGCGACGAGGAATGGGGACGTCAACAATCACATTGCTGAGCAACATTTACAGACAAAACATCAAATTGACTGGGACTCTGCGACCCGGGGGGACTCCCATATGAAACAGACGGGGATGCTCGTCGTCTCGCTTAGGTGTGTAAATTTTGGATTTTGGTCTCGCTTAGGGTGTTCCGGGCAAAGCGCCAATATTTTAAGCCGCCAAGGTCTCGTTTAGGGTTCTGCAAAGAACTTGAGATTTATGACAATGCTTTTAAACACTACTATTAGATAAAAGCATTCCATGATTATGTCTTTATATCATTAAAACTCATTGCATGTCGTATTTGTGTGTTTTGAAGCGGTCTCTTTTAGTGGTCAAAATTTGCTTAAGCCACTTGGTCTCCTTTATCAAAAAAGCGAGCCACGCCCATATGGTCTCCTTTAGGGTTAAATTCAAAATTTCCGACGAGCATCCCCGTCTGTTTCATATGGAAGTTCCCCCCCAGCTCTGCGACATGTATAACGTATTCTACAGACTACTATCAACGTCTCACTTTAGAAAGCTCAGTGGTTTACTAACGTAGAACAAACGCCACTGAATCGTAGCCAACAGTTACCAGCGCCGTACAAACGACTTATTGACGAGATCAAGCAAAATTAACTACGAGAGAACGACTGGAGAACTGACAATTTGACTAACAACAGACCACTGTTTAACTGTGACAACAGACGGATCGAAACCCACCAATTACTGATTACGAGTCTTCATAGCCAATACCATTACGGCTTAACTGACAGACGACCAATAACATCGCGACGTAATTGTCCAATCAGATCAATAGCCAGAGGATAATACCATCAACTGACGTGATACAACTCACTTTGACTCTGAAGATGACTACCGAACAGGTTGTCGAAACGTCAGTCACTGTCAACAACAGTCCTATTAAAGACTACGTTCACCCGGACGATCAAACTCAACCTACAAACAGCTATTCTATTGCTTTCAAGTCAATTTTCCTTAACAAAGTACGCAGGTTGAAATTACGGTTCTAGAAAGGAATTATTTTTCAAGCGACAGAATAAAAGTCTCACTGCAAACGGAGCTAAGGCCAAACTGATAGGCTTTTAGAATTCAGAGGACTTGATGTCCACCTCCATAATTCTTCATAAGATACACAGCCTCATTCATTAATTGATAAATAATGTATTCACTTATGTCTTAATGGGTTATAGTTTCCTTTGCTAATTATTCACTTCCACTACGGACCAAATACCTTCTCACACTACACCAGAGTGTGACACAGAACCTATCAGATATGTGACACTCCACTTCGGAGATCGGTGCGGCGCAGTTACGATCCGTTACATAAATCGAGCCCAAATCAACGTTCCTATGTGTGAACAGAAGCCCGGTATGGTTTTGGTGCCGGTGCAAAAGCTATGCTTTATAGTGTGAACATGCCTAAATCAGGTGCAATGACTTTTATATCCGGTAAAATTCATTTATTCAGCCTAAAAGTCAGTGAAAGGATTTGAATTCAGCCTCAAGTGAAATACGGGTTTGAATGTCTAAAACAATAGAAAACTAGTTGGGATGAATGGATAAGACTAATCTACGGAAATGCAGACCACGGAACCGTGGAACCTAAAGAAATGACTATTTTTATTAGTAGAGGTAATCATTGATTACGGATCCACATTTCGTCATTTACGGAAACGAAATCGAGTCGAAAAGAGTCAAGTTTCCCGCTCGAGGTGTCCCTGATTAAAATTTATAGGGGCGGCTAATTATGATTTGCGGTTGTCCGTGTATAGCTCAAATTTTTCTGCCTTGGTGCCACAGTAACACCAGATTAGGATGCGTTCTGACGAACGCGACAACTGCCTTTGGTTAACATGATAAAGTAATTAGTTACAATTAACTGTTAACATTTCCGGCCTCAATCGCATACAATAACTCGCGTTATCAATGGCTGCAAACAGAGCAGCCACTACACTCGTGCGTAGTGGCCCCGCTAGCGCCCCGGATTGCTTGCCAGCAGGCTAGGTCCCAGCCTCAGCTCTCCATCGACCCGTGGCGCTGACTAAACGGATCGTGAAATGGAAAAATCAATTACAATTCTTTGAAACTTTATTCTATCCTCAGCCGGCCGTGCAGCATGTAGTACACAGATTTAATTTTTAAGTAAGAGTTGGAGCCTCTTGCTGATTTTTGAATAGGCTGCTTTTGAATTAACCAAATCTACATTAAATAATGAATTAAAATTATTGGAAATGGATAATAATTAACGATCCGCAAGAAAACAAAAGCAGTCAAATACTACACAGATATTTGGGTTTTCAAGTTAAACATCAAATACATCCAATCAGTTTAATTTAGGCTAGTTTAATTTAAACGCAGATGTTTCTATTAGCGTCAAATAAACTGTTCGGATCGATTCTTTGGTAATAAGTAATCTTTTGCTTTCAAGTTATTTATGACACTAAACCAGACGAAAATTAGCATACATAAGAGACAAACCTGGGCCTAAAGCTAATATTATTTTGCAAAATAAGTTTTATTTTAAAACATGTTTATTTAATGAACAAGGAGATGAATTTCGTTACTAATGCACTAAAGCAGATGTCCTCACCGCCTGGGCCATGCATGACGTCACTTAGCTTCTTTTAACCCAGTAGAAAACATTGATATACCAAGAAAGTACATGGAAAGAAATACATTTTACAGACTGATCTATTCATTATTAGATGTTATCAAAACTGATTCATGGATTTTTTATTGATCACAGTAATTTAACTGGCCGCTTGTTTAAAAAGACAAGAAGGGGTTTTTCAGTAAGAATAATAGGTCTTGAGCTAAAATTGCAACCTTGAATCACTGGCATGTATGTCTCATTAAGGGTATTTCAAAAAAATATTTGTTTGTCCGCAGAAATTTTTCGTGGCATTTGTGTTTCATCTCAACTTGAAAATCTTTTGCTATTATTAGGGCGGCCGTGTGGAAGGAGTTCGTTTTCTTCAAAGTGGTGCCGCGATTGAATCCTTATAGATAGGGTGTTTCCGTATTGAATCACTCTCAAGGCAAAGTCCTTGATATGAAAATAAATAAATTGAGTTGTCAGACAACTGAAACTAATATTTTCAAAAAAGGGCCATGGAAACAATTAAGAGGCGCTTTTCATTGAACAAAAATCCCGGTTTGACCAATGGAAATGTACATTGGTTGCACAGACCCGACCCAAGCCAAGTCGCGTCTGCTTATTGTACTTTTAAGCAGGCTACCGAAAAGCGGTTGTAAAGAAAAACAATTAACTTTCTCAAATGGAAAGGGACGTTTCGATCCGACCGACCGAAAGGACTGGTCAAAGTGGACCGCTTTCCAAGGTGGTCCTAAATATTCCTGTCGGAAGGAACCAAAATGGTCCGTTGCATTTGATTTCCTACCGAAAATTGCCGGAATTTAAGGCTGAATGGAAAGCAACTCATGCAAGGAACAATCCCTATTGAAGTACCTCCTCAAAATCCTTGTAATTAAGCTGGACAAGTAACAGGAATGTGTACCAATGTTTTCGTTTGCTATAAGACAAAAAAGGCTTCACGAAACCTTAATTAACAATTAATGAATGAGGCTGAGTATCTTATGAAGAACTATGGAGATCGAGGATAACACCCTCCGAGATCTCCATAATTCTTCATATGATCCGAAAGCCGAATTCAATAATTGTTTTATTATTCACTCAAAATAATTCCTAGCTTAAAAACGTAGCTAAAACAAGCTTACCTGCATCGATGTTAAGTTTATCTTCGATAGTTTACGTTTAGCTTTGTCCAGCTCCGCAAATATTCTCCAAATAGCAGATGTCGCCCTCCGAGTCGCCTTCTGTCTGTTTTTGCTATGTTTTTAACCATTATTTCGCCTAGTTCCAGCTGTAGTTCTTACTCTTGAAACGAGTGAAGTGTCCGCCATTTTAGTTTTTACAACGAAAACAACTCAATCTCGTCCCCAGGTCTTCTCGGTTAATGGTGCATTAACCTGTAGAAGGCTGCATTTTTGACGTCATTTCCTCGTTAAACACAAAATTCTTCCAAACTTGGTCATCAGTAACTGGTTATGGTGAATTATGTGTGTGCTTTTAGCCAATTAGAATTAGGGAAATATTTTGAATAAATAATAAAGAAATTTAATGCCTTTCACCTTAAATGTACCGTTAATTTTTAAATACAATCCTTTTATGGAATAAAAAGCTTTAGTCCATTCACAACAAATGTAGTGGTACTCTCTAATTAATTACGAGTTCGCGCCTCTTGCATTATGTAATTACAGTGGAGACATACGAAGAGCAGGATATAGGCGATAACTTAAAATTTTTGGAAATGGATTTGAATGATCAAATGACTGCAATAAAACAAGAACAGTTAAGTGCCCAGATACTTGGGCTGTCAGGTTAAAGTGCACATTAAAAACTGTCAATCAAATGACAAAACCGCAGATGCCTCATCTATTAAATTCAGAGTAAGATTCGCTAATCGGAGTTCTTTGAGTTCTATTAACATATGTAAATTTCGAAATTCGACCTAAAGCTAATACTACCTCGCAAAGGAAGTTTTATCTTAAAACGTGTTATTTTATGAACAAGGAGATGAATTTCGTTGTTGACGCTTAAACACGGACAATCTCACTGCCTGGGCCATGACTGACTGTTCGCCTAGTTTAACACACGACTGGGGTGTGATATTTATTTTGCTTAATTCTCTTTTCAGTTTGGTTGCTATCGGCGGAAATTCTACAGTTTTGTTGATCATCTACAGAGTACGCGCGCTGAGAAGTTCGTCAAATATCCTCATCGCATCGCTGGCGATTGCAGATCTCGAAGTCGGCCTTGTTGTGTATCCTGTCTACATCGCGTTAACTGTCACAAGGAAGTGGTTCAGCGCGCACTTTGTGTACAGACTGGAAAACTTTCTTTGGATTCAATGTTTAGTAACATCAACATTTACTCTCTGCGCGATTAGCATCGACAGGCTTATTGCCGTAACGTTCGCCATTCGGTGCAAACAAATAATAACAAAAAAGCGGTCCTACCGAACAATCCTTTCAATTTGGATCACATCGTTGTTTTTCGGATGTTCTAGTTTGTTTGTCGAGGATATTGGCAAGGTTTCCGTTCTTTGGATTGTAACGCTTGTGCTAACTGTCGTCATACCATTTGCAGTAATAATTTACTGCTATTTTCAGATATTTAAAGCAGTACATGAGCAAAAAGAAAATATCTGTCGCCTAAGTCCAATGGAAGCTGCCGACATGCTAAAGAATAGGAAAGCAGCATGGACAGTGGCTATCGTTGTTTCTATATTTTTCATGACATTTTTCTCAAACGTGATGTTCTCGGCCATAGACGTAAGTACGAGAGATTTCTGCGAGAAGGCGCTAGTTTACCGACATTGGTTGTGGGGAATTCTACTTGCTTTTAGTAGCTCGGCTTGGAATCCTTTCGTCTATGCTGCCAGAATCAGAGAATTCAGATGCGAACTAAAGCGCTTGTTCAAGCTATCTCAAAATTTTAGGTAACTACTCGATCTTCTTCCTCAGTTTTTTTATCTCGCTCAGCAAACGCCATGAGTACAATCAAGAGCCATAATGGGACTGGTACAATCTCAACGAAAGAATCATGAACAAAACATTAAACAGCATTTTGCAAGTGCGCTCTTCCAAATTATTATTTTAGTTTCGTAAAGCTTTTCTCGCCATTTTTCTCACGAGCCCGGAATTCAAGGCTTTTGAAAATAAAATAACCAGTGATCTAATCTTGGTGTAATAAGACATACTGTTAAACTTTATTTAAGCGATAGGTTAATTTGTTTATATTTGAGGACACCAAATCGCATTCTTAAATAAATTATAGAGTTCCTCAGGAAGTCAAAAGTTATTGGGTTTTTTTATGAAAAATAAATTAAGCCACATTATATATGCCTATTAAAAGAGATTTCTTAAGACACAAAACGGTAAAAACGAGCGATAATATCCAGTATCCAGTATGTAACTGGAATAAACTATAGCTCGACGGACTCTTCCGTTTCTTGAACGTCGAAGATGTACTCTGCGGCCATCATCAGCTAGGTACTGGGTAGCGTTATCTGCTGCAACTGAGGATTCCTGGGGAAAGTATGCCTCAAGGAAAGCCGAATCTGCAAACGACAATTCGCAGAACTACGCAGCCAGGGCATTAACGATTCTTTTTAATGCCCCCAAAAAATCCATACTCAAATTTTCGTACCCAAAAAAATACTTGCCAAATTTTCGTACCGAAAAAAAATCCCGGAATCGAAAATTTCAAACACAAAAAAATCCTTCGATCATCCCCGTCGCTTGAAATCCCGAGTACTAAGGCTTACTTTCCAGCAAATAAAATGAACTGAATGTAAAAAGTCAAAGAGAAATAGCGAAAAATTCAACTTCTAATTATAAATCTTTTCTTATGGTTTAGAATAAACTATTCTCGAAACTGAGAATGTTTTGATCAAAGCTGTGTAAATCGAACTGAAACTGTGCATGGAACCTTGCATTTCCTGTATTTATCTCACCTATTGTATGGAATATGAGTGAAAATCTTTATTATGAATCGGTATATTTCAAAGAGCTACACAACGAGCAAGTATAATGTTGACCGACAATATAGAGAGCGGGGCAGCTGTAGTGTCGACTAATTCTAGTTTATCATATAAAGGGGAATTTCCATAAGGCAATTTGTCTCCATCAAGTATATAATGATAGCTCCGGCTGTGATGTCATTCGGCTTCAGTATTGTACGGCGCAGGCGCGCGGTGAGCACATGGGAACTGTTTTTCGAGCAGGTACCCCGGGGACTTACCACAGCAAAACCTTAAACCAAAGCGGCTGGAGGTCGCTGAGTTGTACAGGTTACGTTATTATTTCGAGGAAGAAAGCGAAAGTGTTTGCCGAGTAAAACGCAAGCGGTTTGAGGCATCTGGCCTTTACCTTATAAATTTGGTGATTTTTTAAGTCGCTCACTTCGAGGCCAGGTCGTGTGTGGCAAACGTAAAAAAGCTACTAATTGAAGAATGAAGCTTTAAAGAAGCCTTGCAGGTGGTTAATCGCGGCCAAGGAGACCCTGCAAGCACAACAACAACAATCCTTACAACCAGTGCCTGAATGCATTTTCTAAGGATTCGCCGGTTTCAACGACATTACAGTTTGGAACTTCACGCGCTTAACCTACGTAGGGACAAGGTGCTTGTCTCGCTTTGCCGTCTTCAAGCAAGAAGATGGCTTACACTAGCTTTTTGTGTGGAGGCGGTAATCAACAAGGCCTAAATGCAAATTTTGAAAAGCCATATGTAGCAGCTGTGATGTAAGGGGACACATTGCCAGTGTCTGTAAGAAGGGCACAGTAAAGTGAACGCTCTGAATGTGAAGTATCCTTGTCCTGGGAAGAGGAGCTGCCAACATGGTGGAATGATGCGGCAGACTGATTTAGACTGCTTTGAGGATGTGTGACAGTATCCTCTGAAAAATGTCTGGGCATAAACCACTGCGTAGTGCAGACGGTTTCACTCTCATGTCCTTTCAGCTAGTGGTTTCAGCTCTCATATCTATAACGCATGAGGTCTGACTTTATCGGCTCAATAAAAAATGTTGCTTGCCGTTGTGCCGTTTACGGTATTCTCTTTAATGTACTTGGAAGGGTCGCAACTAGAGGTTCCAACCAAGAAATAACCAGGGTTCAGTTCAGGGTCCGGTTACAATCCGAAATTTATAATCACTCTTATACCACTACAGGACAAATTTCTGCAATTTGATTGGCTTAGAGCAGTGGTATTAAAGCTTAATTTGAGATACCTACATGTGAAAGTTACAACCCTTTTGTGGGTAGTACTATAAACAAATAATAGCATGATTTTACGTGATATTTTTGCATAAATACCACTCGTGACATTTCAAAATTGTCTCAAATTTCACTCGCCTAACGGCTCGTGAAGTTATGTATAACAATTTTGAAATATCACTCGTGGTATTTGTGCCAAATATCACTACAAATCATGCTATTACCTATACAAACTGTGAGAACCGTCACCAAATTGAGGAAACCATATAGAAAATAACCGCTCAAATAGTTAAAAGAAAAGAGGGTATGAAATTATGTATAAAAATTTTGAAATATCACTCGTGGTATTTATGCCAACTCAGATCACTACAAATCATGCTGTTACCTATACAAACTGTGACAACCGTCACCAAATTGAGGAAACCATATAGAAAATAACCGCTCAAATAGTTAAAAGAAAAGAGGGTATGAAACTATGTATAACAATTTTGAAATATCACTCGTGGTATTTATGCCAACTCAGATCACCACAAATCATGCTATTACCTATACAAACTGTGAGAACCGTCACCAAATTGAGTAAAACATAGGAAAATAACCGCTCAAATAGTTAAAAAAAAAAGGGTATAAATGACACAGCAAATACAGAAGGACGCACGGATGGACAAACTCGAAGAATATTGTAACGGACTGCAATTAAGGTTTTTGGAAACTTGTTACTATATTTCCTTTATGCTTGTAACGATATATTAAGCTTGGTTGTATTTGTTTTACACAAAGCTGTCATTCACAAGTTATTTCTTTCTTAAGTATAATTAAGTTTCATAGCGAAAAAGGACGCGTAACTGGCACTATGAACAAAATGAGCAAGACAACAGTGAAGGCACGAAACAGGCACGAAAATTTATCGTCATGGATGACAACAAACCATCTTATTAAAAAATTTATACTATTTATAATAACGAGACAGTCACAAAAACATATAAGAGGACTTTTGAAAAGATTTGTATGGCCTTGTATTTTTTATAACATAATTATACCAATAATTATATATGTAAACTGAATTCTTGCAGAGTATTTCCTGGAGTAATTTTATTTTTATCGTTGTAAATTCCGAAATAGTCCCTGTGGCAAAATTTGATATAATTTGTGGGAGGCGCCTGAGCACCAAAATATTACACCAATCCAAAATCAAGCGTGGTAATCCATCATTTTTTTCATTTTAATTAATCCTTTTGGCACAAAAATTAACATAGATAAAGAATAAGCAAATTCTTAATTTTGGAAATAATAGGGAAAATGTCGTCTGAAAACATAATTTTTACTTTGGGTTTGGTAACCATAAAAGTTGCTTACCACAATGGCTTTTTGTGTTCTCAGGAGCCCATCAAATGGAGCCTCCATCTCCCATACATGCCCTTGGAGTCAACCCTTTGCCGAGTAGATTTATAATCAGAACGGTTCCCAGAGGAGACTTTGCCCGCAGAAAGTGGTAAGAGCCAATCACAACGACGAAATGACAGGGCTATTGTACATCATCAAACAACAGGAAATTCGATGTTGACAGGCCAAACACAATCATAAACTAGTGAAACGTGACTTTAGCGTTTTTATCCCTCAGAGATTTTCGTTCTCTTCTTTCTAGCGGGTAGATTTTACTGTGGAGAGGTTCTGACTACGTTAATCTTAATTTTGGCTGCCTATCTCACATTAAGAGACCATGAAGCTGGTCTGTTCCACGCATAATAATTAACTACTTCCTGCAGTCTGTAGTTCTGACAGGATTCGGTTTTTTAGCCAATTTTTTTAAGCGTTAAGGTTCTTATTTCGGCTAAATGACTCAATATTAATCAAATTTCTAGTTTTTCAAGGTTTTTTTGCGAAATGCGTTTATCTGAATAAATACTTGTAGTCCTTGTGGTTGTTTTGTCCGTCAGCTAGTGTGATGATTCCCTGCTATGTTTTGTAACGCCGGGCCCGGCTATTTTTACATTGTTTTCTGGCGAAAAGTGCTCTACAGATGCGAATTCGAGGAAAGAATGGAGCTTAAACATCTTCATTAACCGCTGAGAATTGTCCTGTTAGTCAGTCATAATTCTTTTGTCGCAGATACCATCCGTTTTGTTTTTCTTGAAAAAAAGTCGCAAAGACAACCTTTCCGTGATCCTCAATTTGCTACCTTTGTCCCATCGCTTCATGCTCAGTCTCCGTCGGGTAATTCATTAACTTTTATTTCATGATACCCAGATCCCAGCGGCTGTAAAATCGTAAAAATGGACGTATAATAAAAAAGGAAAACGGTCGAAGGACGGGCTTCTGAGTTCGACTTTATCCAAGTTTATTTTTACACGGTGACATACGACCTCACGGAAATATGACACTTTTTGCGGGAAACAAGCCGTTCTATTTATAAATCTACTCGGGAAAGGGTTGACTCAAGAAATTAATGGAGATGGAGGCTCCATTTGATGGGCTGTACTGTCGCACTTTGTAATAATCGTCGCACTTTGTAATACCTGTCGCACTTTGTAATAAAATTGTCACACTTTGTAATACCTGTCGCACTTTGTAATAACACTTGTCGCACTTTGTAATAAAAAAGCTGTCGCACTTTAAAATAAAATAGAAATAGATGAATGAAATAGATGGTCGGAGGACAAGTAAACCCAGTAATAAGTGTCATCATCGACAACAACAACAACGACAATAATAATAATAAGTGTTCACATCAACTTCTGGCTTCAAGATCTTTCTAGGGAAGTACAACTCTTTATATGCGGA